AGATCAGTGTAAGTCCAGTCAGAATCTTAATAGGATTTTTTGGTAAAATCAGCAAATTTATTCTAAAATTTATGTAGAAAAACAAACCAAAATAACTAAAACAAATTTGAAATAGAAGAACAAAGAGGACTCACTGTATCCGATTTTAAAGCTCACTGTGCAGTTAAAGCCGTCAACACTGGAATTGGCGGGAGGACACGCACGTTGATGGATGGAACAGAACGGAGCGCCCAGGTAGGTCCATGCAAGTGTGTCCAGCTGATTGTGAGCAAAGGTGTGAAGACCGTCGGGTGCAGTGGAGAAAGGACGGTCTTCCGAGCGTGCCGGACAGCGGGCAGCACATCTGACAGCAGCCGCGGCCGACCTCACGGCCTGAACGGCCACCTCCAAGGGAGTCGTAGCCCCGGATGTGAAACTGGACCTGTAAAACTTCTAAAAGGAAGTGGAAAAAGATCTTTCTGACCTTAAGTTAGGCAATGGCTTCTTTAAAAAGCTACAAAAAGCACAAGTCATAAAAGAAAAAAAAACAATAAACTAGACTTCATCAAAATTAAAAACTGCTTTAGAAAGACACTGTCAGGAAAATGAAGAGACAGGCCACGGCCGGATAGAAGCTGTAAAACACGTGTCTGGTCAGATCTGTGTCCAGCACACATAAGGAGCTCTCAAAATCCCATAATGAAGAAACGAGCATCTCGATGAGAAAACAGTGGCAGAAGATTTGCGGACACCCCGCCAAGGAAGATACACAGACGGCAGATGGGCGCGTGGAGAGACGCTCTAGGTCACGCACGGCGGTCGTCGGAGGTGCGACTCGCCGCAGTGGACACAGCACACGCGTGAGAACGGCTGGAACCCCGAAATCTGTCAAGGCCGAGTGCTGAGGAAGGACCGGAGCCCTCGAAACTCTCCCCCTTGGCTGGTGCAAACACAGGATGTGACGGTCACTCTGCACAAGTGGCTGCCGCTTACAGAGTCACACGTACAACCCGGCAGTTCCGGGCGTTCACCAAGAGAAATGGAAACTGTTCACTCGGAAACCCGCACGTGCATAGTCACTGTGTCTTTATTCATAGTCACCACAGCTGGACACACCCCGATGCCCTGCACCTGGCGAGCAGATGAACAAGCCGCGGCGTAGCCTGTAACGAAGGACCCGTCGGGAGAAAGACGACGCCACTGATGCCTCCGGCGTCGCAGGTGAGTCTCAAGGACATTGCGCTAAATGCAGCAGCCGCTGGAAAAACTACGTACCGTGTGGTCTGTTTATACAACATGCCAGAAAGGGGGGGCCGACAGGGACAGAGCACAGTCTGGTTGCCAGGGACAGGCCAAAGGGAAGCGCCGGTGAGAGGGACGGGAAACGGGAAACGTGGGGAGGCGGAGCGGTGGCCACGTGACCCCGAGCCTCTGCCACAACTCAGAGCGGCCTGCAGAGGGTGAAGGTTAAATACGTCCTGTCTCAGTCAACCTGGCTTTAGGGGGAAAAAGAAACCCTCCCCTCTCTCGTGTTCGGTCACACTCAGGAAAGCATGTTCGGATGATGTCAGCCCACACTTGGGTGACGCACACCGTGAGCTCCGATCGCCACTCCGAGCTTTTCACCCATCGGCAGCCAACTTGTGACGGCCGTTTGCAACTGGGAGGGCATCTCCTCCGACGAGCGGGCCCTGGGAGCACGCGCCGCCTCTCTCGTGGAGGGATGATGTCATTGTTTACGGGGGTAACTTGATAAACACTGGGAAAAATAATGAAAATACCGGGGGAAAAGCAAGTCACAAGCAAATTTGTTCTCAGTCCACGTAGTCAGAACATGCTTTGTTTAGTGGGAAGAAGCCGAGGGAGCTGGGAGTCCGGGAGTCGCCGTCGGCGTTCACGAGCCTGCCCCGGGGTCCCCTCCCGCGTGCCCTCGCCCACGTGCACCTGCTTTGAATTTTACCCCTCGCATCTTAACCCTGTTCAAATTCAGAGGGATTGAAAATGAGACTCGGCCTTGGGTGAGGATTTGCTCTGTGTGAAAATTCCCCAAACTGCCGCCCTCCTGTCAGGCTTCTGGGGACCCTCTAATCTCCCTTTATTCCTGAGCCCCAGGTTTTCCTTTGCAGCAGGAAGGAGCTGAGCATGGCTGGCTCTCAGCTGCGTGTCTCTGCGGGAGGCTGCAGAGTGTAATTGCTTTCTGTCTGAGGAGAAGCCAGAGGTGTTAGAAATGCGGAGTGTCGTGACCCTCGTCACGTAAGGCTGTTACCAACACCCACGCCGCGAGCTGCGCCCGGAGGCAGGCTCAGCAGAGCGGGGTCTGGGCGCCTGTGTATGGAGAAGCTTTCATGCAGCACGAAGAGAAACGGGCAGAGGGGAGGGGAGGCCGGGCGAGGATTAGGAACTGAGCAGCCGCGTCTGCCCCTCGTCCCCAGCGGGTCAGTGCCCACTGCTTCCCGTGGCGTCTCCGCCTTCTCTTGTCGCCACACGCCCCACCACACACACGCACCGCTCCGGCCCCTTCCTTTCTGCCCGTGCTTGTCCTGTGAGCTTAGCCGGTTGTACTGGGACAGACCCTCGGGTGGCTCCAGAACCACGTCACCCACTCCGTTCCGGTTCTGAAAGTCCCTTCGCAGCTCTGCACGGGCTGTAGGAGAAGGTTCCCGGCGCCTGCAGGGCTCTGTCCTCGGAGCTCAGCGTGAGGGAAATGGAGCCCCCACCCCCTCCCTCACCGCGACGCAGAGTTCCGGGCCGGCGCCCTCGCGACAGCGCCAGGGCCTGCCAGCCGCACCCGGGCGTCCGTGTGCCCCGGGACTCCCCCGGCACAGCTTCCCATGTCCTTGCAGTCGTCACCTTTGCCCGTCTTTGGAGCCGAGGCTTTGAAGCCCCCCCGTGCCTGTCCCCACAGCCGTCCCCACGTCTGGATGAGCAGTGGGGCACCGCGGGGAGCCCAGGCCCAGGCCGCAGAGAAGTGAGGGTCCCGCTGGGCCCCTCTCCCCGCCTGCTCCAAAGCGCCTTCTACTCCCGGCCTCTAATTTATTCCCAGAGAACCGAGTTTCATGAAAGCGCAATATCTCTGCTCCTGCGCGGGCTTCGAGCCTTTTCGTCTGGGTTTTTCCTTATTACTGTTCTGCCTTACTGGTCATTTGTCATTTCTTTTCTGTTAAGCTCTGGATTGTCATAAAATGAACCCAATTGTTGAGAATCCACCGTCTGCCCCGTTCGCCATGGTGGGTTATTTCTAACCCCACCGTGTTCGGAGGCTGGTGTTCGACGCCCCGTGACTGCTTCTGCGTGTGGACGTCCTTTTCCTGGTGCTGCTGCGTTGTCGGGTGTTTTGTGACGTGTAGGAGAAAAGGCGTAGAGGTGACGCGCTGGGAGAGGAGCCTGCAGGCGTCCGTGGGAGCGGGCGAGGGGTCCGCCATGCGTGTCGTGCGATCAGAGACGACACGCGGGAGGCGATGGGGAGAGACAGGCGTGTTCTGTGCACGTTTCATGCAGTAACTCACTGCAAGGCCGCACCAGACACAAGGGACGCAAGCGCGTTCCATGTTCCTTATTTTTATGTTTTCTTCTCAGAAAAAGCAGTTTTTAGAATAACTAATAGCGGCTCTTTCGCCTTGGTGTTATCAGGGCCGGCTCCACGCTGGTTGCGGTGAACAACTCCGTCTTGACTGCGAGCCAAGAGGAAGCAGGGTTTTTATCTTGTTTAATTTCTTTTATATTTTGGGAATTTACAACTCTTAGCTTCTTAACAGGGAATCAGAGTCGGCCACACTCGCCCCGTGGCACCTGCGACTGAGGAAATTCATCCGCGTTGCACACGCAAGTGATCGTGCTTGCGAACAAAGTAGATTAAATCCTAGTTATTATTCGGTGAGTGTGGGCCTCTTAGCTGTTGATTTGCACACCCCACCCCGTGTGTGCACACACTCGCCGGCTCACACAACAGAGTCAAGGAATAGGGAAGAGGGCGACCGGCCCAGCGTCCGTGTTTCCAGTGGAAATAAACTTGGTTTCTCTGGAACTGTCCCATCAGGAGGGGGAGTTAGTTTGCACCTACCCAGGTTTGCAGCTCTGCACTCTCCTCACTAACTCTTCCACCCGCACGGAGCCTGGCGGCCACCCCCTGCAGTGTCAGTGAGACCCGCAGCTGCCCTCCAGGGCCTGGCCCAGCCTCTCCCCCGGAGCCTCTGTTATTCTTCTTTCTCGTAAGATCTCTCGTCTCCCAGCCACACACCCAGCTCCCTTTGGTACTGGAGACAGAACGAGGGCGAGAGGCCCTGGGCGCGCCTGTCTCGTGGTTTGTGTTCCTGGTGTTGGGAGCAGCACGTTAGCGCCCGCCTGCCCGACTGCTGTCTGTGGGTGCGGTGCCGCCCTCGGCTTCCGCGTGTTCCCTGAGCAGCAGGCGGCGCCGGGTCCTCTGGAGCTTTCCCAAGACCCCACTCCCGTCCCACCCCCGTGAGCCCCACCCCATCCAGCAGGCGCACCTGGGGAGAGCACTTCTCGCTTGGGGAGGCTCCGTAGGTGTGGACCTGCCGTGGGCCTGTGCGCCGTCGGCTGTGCGGGCCACACTAGGCAGCCCAAGGCCTTCAACACTTGAGGAAGAGGAGCCTTTCTCTGGACGACAGCCACAGCCGGCCCTCCTTACCTACAGGTTCCAAATCCACCGATTCAACCCACTGGGGATGAAAAATATTCGAAAAATAGAAATAATACAGCAATGGAAAATAATGCAAATCAAAATTTTAAAAAGAAAATACAAATCCGAAAGTAACGCAGTGTAACGACTATCTACGTACCACGTTCATTGCGTTAGGTTTTGTCAGTGCTGCTCTGGGCTGATGCGCAGAAGGCCGGTGTGCTTAGATTACGTGCCCGTGTTAACACGACACCGCTTTCTGTCCACACTAGCATCCCTCCATTCTGGCATCCACGTGGGGCTGGAGCTGCCCCCACGGATACCGGGGGACGGCTGTGCTTTTCACGCACTGAACCTAAACGGGTGTTTTCTCTTCCTGAAGATCCCGGAAGAGCATGACCTGGAGAGTCAGATCCGCAAGGAGCGGGAGTGGCGCTTTCTGCGGAACAGCCTGGTCCGGAAGCAGGCCCAGCAGCTCATCCAGAAGGGTAAGCGAGAGGCTGTCTGCGAGCAGTCGTCCTGCGTGGGTGACCTCGTCCCGCCCACCTGCCCCAGAAGCCCAGCCTCAAATAAGGAAACGGGGCGGGTAGAGGCGGAGTCGCGCCTCAGGGTCGTGGGGAGGTCGGCGGCACCCCGCCCGCTCTCCTTCAAAGGTGATTTGAGCCTCAAGGTTATCAGCAAAGGTGAGGGCCTGGCCGACTGAAGCCTCTCAGAGAAGCAGAACTTTTGGGTTTTGACATTTCCAGAAGGGAAGGAACAAGCCCTTCCCAGGCCCCTGGGAGTCCACATCACTCCAGCCTTACGGGGACGTCCCGTGCCACGGCGTCACAGACGATGCGTCCTTCCCCGGGGACGGAAAACGGAAACTCGAGGCCCCCATTTCATTCAGATGTCCCCACCTGGTCCCTGGAATGGGTGTCACCCCAAACTGCACGTCAGTCCCGTTTTCACCAAACCTTTTACCAAATTTGCCTACAGATGCTAAAGTCGCCCCTTGGGCTGCCAGCTTGCTCCCCTCGTAGCCTCCCCCCGGGCAGAGGGGCCGCGAGCTGCTCAGGACAGCAGGCGTGTGCTGCCGCAGAGGGACGGCGCAGGGAGCTCCCTGCATGCGGCAACCATCAGGCTGCAGGCGCCCCAGCACGAGGCACGGCGGGGGGGGGGGGGCCCAGGCGAGACGCAGGGACCAGAGCGCCAGGCAGGCCCCCTTGCTGTAGCCCAGGGACCCTGGCCTTCCCCCACTCTGGGAGGGCGCGGATTGGCAGTAAGGCCCGGCGTGGTCTCCGTGCAGATGTGGGACTGTCCCCGCTCCAGCCCAGCCGCCCCACAGCCGGACCAGCACGGTCAGCTGGTCGTCGGGGCTGATTCGCCGCGTTCGCCTTGCCTCTCGGTCTTGAAAGCTTCTGAAGACTGTGATGGGCTACTCTTTAGGGCTGGGGTCGAGGACCCAGGAGACAGACTGTCCCTCCCACTGCAGCAGAGCTGGGCAGGCTGCCGAGGCCTGGCACACCTCGCTCCAGGGAGCGGAGACCACTGTCGACCTGGGGAGGCCAGTGCTGCTTGCAAGTGCTTGCCTGTGCGGCCTCCTCTGCGTGCCCCGCTGGCCCTCCAAAGTGCCACGGGTACCTGTTGCATTAGCATGGAGGGCAAAGGTCGTGCCCAAGGCTCACCCTGGCTGCCCAGAGCTCTGCCCTCTGTGGAGGAGATGGCGGGAGACGCACAGGAGGCGCCCACGTTTGGGGTTCGGCATGTGCTGCCCCCGCGGGAGCCACTCGAGCATGTGCCGCCAGGGTGGGCGTTCTCCAGGGGAGAGAAGAGCGCGGCCCCCTGGGTGGGAGCCGCCGCTGGCCGACGGCAACAAAAGGCTGCTCTCCTGGAGTCTGCGGTTCTCTGGGACCCCGGGCCTCCCGGCTGGCGGCTGACACATCACCCAAAGGCCTGGAAGCTGAGTGCCCCACACAGTTCAACGCGGGAAGGTGACGCCAGCCTGGTGTTTGTGGTCAGAGTTGAGCAGGGTGTGGAATGAAGCCAGCATTTAAGGCACAAAACCAGGCTTTCTAGACAAAAAGAATGTATTTATCATGCAGAGTAGGGATTTCTCCTCCAGCCTTTGTGAAAGAAGAAGCTGGTGTCAAAAACACACAGAGGAGGAGCTATTGGACTGCCGGAAACATCCACAAAGGGGGTCGAGGACGTGTGGCACCCGGGGACTGGACCCGAGGGGGAGCACACCCCCCCCACCCCGCGTGCTTGAAATCTGGGCTCAGCGCTACGTTGCTTTTCTCTGGCAGCCCGCTGGCCGGCTGCGCGCCTGGCAGCGAGACGCGGCGGAGGGAGTGGGGCCCGTAGGGGAGCAGGGTGGACGGGAGAAGGCGGCGTTGCCCGGGAGACGCTGGGAAGGCCCCGCCTGGCTCTTCTGCCTCCCCTGGGGACGTGTGGCCTTGGCTGTCCCACACTGACACTGGCCTGAGCACAAGGCGACTCCCGCTGGGTTTCGCTTTCTCTTTCGAGGCTCACAGTCAAGCCCAGGGCTTTGGCTCCCTCCGGACAGTCCCCGCAACTGCTCCGAAGCTGCCTCCAGGGTGACAGCACCTCTGCCACGGGGAAGCCTTTGGGGCGCTCGCCTCTGCTCTGCTCGGGTGACCCCGCCGTACCACGAGTGGTCTCATCCCCCTGCCAGGTCCTCAGTCTGGGCCGCTTTGCGAAGGAGGGGGCCGGGCCTGACTGCACAGTGACAGAGCGGCCCTCCACGCGCCCCGCACACCCCAGCGTCTCCCGAGCTTCCGCCCCAGCCACCGCGGTCCTGGCGCCCAAGGAGGGCCGTGGCCCCTGCCGTGCTCCAGCCCAGCTCACAGTCACCTGCAGCAAAGTGCCCACGTTACTCGTCTTTGACCTCGAGCCCCAAGAGTAGGTCGGCTTCCTGCCGGGGCCCCGCGCCCCGCGCCTGGCAAGGAAGACTCAGGCCAGACCAGAAGCCGGGCGGGAGGCGCTCAGCCAGGCCAAGAGGCTTTTCTTCGCGCAACCCAAGAACCGTGTCACTAAGGAATGGCGTGTGCGTCTCCAAAACGCCCGCCCGGGTCACCTGGAGGCTGAGCAGGTGTCGGGGCCGAGGCTGGGCGGCCGTCCGCCTTCCCTGCTCAGGGCTGCGACCAGAGATGAGACGTGCGCACCCTTCAGTCCCCCCTCGCATCATTCGCCAAAACCGCGTCCAAGCCCATCGTGACTCCACACTTTCAGCCTCTTGTTATGGTTCTAAAACAGTCTTCCCAAGTCCTGGGGGCTCGTTTCCTAGCGCTAGTGTTGGGGAGCCTGGCGCGTACAGCCACATTCCCCTCTTCTGTCGAGTGTGTGATTGTGTTTCCTTCTGTCGTGTAACTTCATAGTTAACGTCTTTCTCGACGGAAAGACCCCCAGGACTATGGCTGGGCTGCGGGTGATGACGGCCAGGTCTGTGCTGCCAATCAGAGCCGTCCGTGGGGAACTTTAGTCCGTGGGACTTTCTTCACAAACCTCAGCCAGACACATCCGCACTGATCAAAACTCTGCTGATGCGCAGGACGACGGGCGCTGATCGGACGCTACAGTGTCCGGCCTCAGGGGGCAGAGGAGTCTGGGCTGAGCAAAGGCACAGACCCTCCCCCAGATCGCGGTGGGTGCCGTAGCCTGAGTGCCAGGCGAGAGCTTCTCAGCGTCCAGCCTCTCCTTCGGTCCCTGCTCCCCTGCGTTACCTCGGCGCCCCGCCCCTGCCAGTCCCCAGGCACCGGGAGTTGGTGCCGGCCCTGGGAAGACGCAGGGTCGATACTGACTGTGAACTAAGACCGGCCGCTGAGTCCACTCTTGTGTTTCTCCTGGCAGGCGTCACGAGACTGGACGACCAGATATTTCTGAACAGGAACCCGGGTGTCCCCTCCGTGGTCAAATTTCACCCCTTTACCCCGTGTATCGCCGTAGCTGATAAGGACAGCATCTGGTAGGCATCTCGCGGTCGCGACCTTCCTCCCACTGGTGACAGCCCGAGGGACATGGACCCGCGTCCATTCCCCATCACACCTGCGCCTCCTCTCGTGGGAGGCACTTGCTCCGACACCTCGGTGCTGTCTCGGGTGGAAGGGTCTCAAGAGTGTCCCGAGAAATGTCCCTGCTGGCCTCCTCCCCTGTGACCTGGCCCCGCCTGCCCCAGGCCTCCCTCTGGCCTCTTTGCCAAGGGACGGTCCAGGGCCCTGACCTCCAGCCTCACCTGCAGCGGAGGGGCCTGCACGGGGCTCTCGCTGAAGCGAGTGTGACGGAAGAATAGCAGTAAGAAGACGTCAGGTGTCAAAGAGAGGCTCGAGTTCAGTTTATGACACGCCCGCCTTACGTAACGAGCGAGGACCCCCTTCATGGGGGAGAGCGGCAGGAGGGGGACTCTGTAGCTTATAAAACGCCTGACGTCCTCACCTCTATTTCTTATTCTTCTCTCTCTCTCAAAATTATGGTAAGACGTGCACGGCATAAAATTTACCATCGAAGCCATTTGTAACCGTGCAGCTCGGTGGCATTCAGCGCGTCCATGTTGCGCAGCCCTCAGCAGCGCCCATCCCCAGAACCAGTTTTATCTCGCGACGCTGAAACTCTGTCCCCACGAAAACCAGCCCCCGTCCCTCCCTAGCCCGCCCCGGCAGCCTCCACTCTGCCTCCCGCCTCTGGATCTGCCGGCCCTGGGGCCCCGTGTCAGTGGAATCGTACGGTGTCTGCCCCCCGTGTCCGGCTTATTTCACGCAGTGCCGCGTCCTCGGTGCATTCGTGCCGTGGCAAGTGTCAGAGCTTCCTTTTTCTGGCTGAATAGGTTCACTGTGTGGTCGGACCATTTTTCTCATTCATTCATCTGTTGATGGACTCCTGGGTTACTTCTGCCTCTGGCTGTTGTGAATAACGTTGAACCTGGGCCTGCAGGTGCCTGTTCAGGTCCCTGTTTTCGATTGCTTTGGGCGCACGCCCGCAGGTGCGATCGCTGCATCGCGCGGTAGCACCAGGTCTAGTGTTTTAAGGAACCACCAGACTGAGCACGAGGCTCCACTCTCCCCGCACCCTCACCAACACTGCTACTTTCCTTTCTTTTGTTTTCCCTCTTTTTCTTGGAGATGGGATCTCACTGCGTTGCCCAGGCTGGTCTCGAACTCCTGGGCTCAAGTGATCCTCCTGCCTCAGCCTCCCGAGCAGCTGGGACTGCAGGCGCCGCCACGGTGGCTTTGTCTTCTGTTGTTTGCTAGTAGCCGTCCTGGTGGGCTTGAGGGGGTGTCTCGTTGCAGCCTGGGTCTACCTCTCCCTGATGACGGGTCCTGTTTCTCTGATTCCCTTAAGTTTCTGGGACTGGGAGAAAGGGGAGAAGCTGGACTATTTCCACAACGGAAACCCGCGGTACACACGGGTCACGGCCATGGAGTACCTGAACGGCCAGGACTGCTCGCTGCTGCTGACGGCCACTGGTGAGTCGGTTTGCGCAGCTGGGACCTGAGCCCAGAGCTCGGAGGAGGTGGCAGGGCCGACACAAGGTCCCAAGACCCACAGGACATGCGTGCAGTCTGTGTTCTTGCGGAGGGCCCTGCCCACAGCTGAGAGCCGCTGCCGTCCAGAGGCCGGAGGTCCGTGAGGGCGGGGCCTCGACACAGCCACGTCTCGCCTGGATCCCCGGCCCTCCCGGGACCAGGAAAAGCCTCCCCCTAGAAGGGAGGGGCCCCCGCGCCTGTCGCGTCCTTCGGAGACACAGTCGCAGCCGTGCTGCGGGGCTCACGCGAGTGGCGGATCTCACTCTGGGCTCTTTTGTTTTCTTGGTTTCTTATTTTTGGTCTGAACTGTCTTAATTTCAGCCTTACCTTTTTTCTTTTTATTTTTTAGAGACCAGGTCTCGCTGTATTGCCCAGGCTGGTCTTGAACTGCTGGCCTGAAGCGAACCTGCCCCCTCCCCCTCCCGAGTGCACCCTCCCTTTTGAACGATAGTTTTCCGAGTCGGGTGCCCTACGCTGATTGTCATTTTCCTTTACCATTTTTAAAATGTGATTCCGTTGCCTCTTGCTGATGAGGAGCCCTGTCCCTCAAACTGCCCTTACCCCAGAGGTCAGACGCGTGTGGGGACGGGTGGAGGGTAACGGCGGCAAAGGCAGACGCCTCGCACTGCCCCCACCCCGCGTTGCCCTGCCCTGGCCCTGGGCGCATGAGCCACAGACGACACGCTCCTCTCCTCTTTCAGAGTGTCTGTGGCCCCCCAAGGGGTGTGGCCATGGGGACACATCCTCCTGGCAGCCACTCCTCCGAGCTGGGCCACCTCAGGACCAAACAGCGTCAAGCCAGTGTCCAAAGCCAGATCACACTGCAGGCACCAGGGCGTGGGCAGGAGGGGATCCGGGTGGGTGGACGTGAGCGGCCAGCGAGGTGCGGCGAAGATTTAAGACGGGTCAGACTCGGGCGGCCCTGGGCACCCAAGAGGAGGGGCCGGGTCCTCCACAGGCCACAGCTGCCCGGGAGATGCCTCGGGAGGCTCCGGTTCCAGAGCAGGGAGCACCAGTGTCCCTTTAGGGAGGGGTGCCCCCACCCCCATTCTCAGTCCCGAGAGCCCCCGCGGCCTGGGTTGTGTGTGGCAGGAAGGGAGGGTGAAGACAGTTTGCACTCTCGTGCTTCCCTGGGCACAGGCGGTTAAGTGGGGGGCAGAGCAGGGCCCGAAGCGTGTCCCCAGCCCCGGCTGAGCTCTGCCCTTCCTCCCGCCAAGGAGAGCCCAGCTCGGCTGTGCCAGGCTCTGTGGCCAGCCGGAGGCTGGAAGAAACCACGGGTCTCCCGTGTCCCCTCGATGCGGCCCTTGCCCAGGGTCACCCAGGTGTGACTCTGAGGAAACGGCATCCGCAGACCTGGAGCCGCCAGCCCCGGGGCACGAGGAGTCTCGCTGTGCAGCATGTCCCCAAGGTGACCTGCACACGCAGGGCACAGGGCCCGGCTTCATGTCCTTCCCCCCTCCCCCCGCAGATGACGGTGCCATCAGGGTCTGGAAGAACTTCGCTGACTTGGAAAAGAACCCAGAGATGGTGACCGCGTGGCAGGGGCTCTCGGACATGCTGCCGACGACGCGAGGTGGGTCGGCCGGCTCCTCGGGCAGAAGAGGGTCCCAGCCTCTCCTCAGACTGCTCCGCTCCCCGCGGGTCCTGCATCCTGGGCGTGCTCGGCAGCCCGTGGCGCCTGTCCTGAGCTTCATCCCGGGTCACGGCTGGGCTGCGGGGGAAGCGTCGCTGCAGGTGGGGCCGGGGACGCTGCGGCCTGTGCTCCTCGCGCCCCAGTTCAGCCCTCTCGGTGGTCGGCACGCCTGTAGCGCGGTCGTATCTTTGCGTCCGGCGGGAGGCCCCATGCGCGCCGGCACGCCCTGGCTGGCAGATGCCGAGGCTGCAGCGCACGGCTCCGGGCTCAGCTTTGCACGTTGCCTGTGCCGCTGCACAGCCTGGGGGAGGGGCTCGGCCAGGCCCACGGCTCCTTCTGGAAGGACTCGGGCGGGTGTCGGGCTGTGGACTTCCAGAGACCCTCCTGCAGCCAGAGGCGCCGGCCTCTGGGAGTCGTTGCGCTAGAAGCAGAAGCCACACCCTGCCGGCCCTTGCCTGCTGGCTTTTGGTTCCCATGTCACAGTCTGTGGCCTGTGTTGTGGCCTCAGGCTTCACGGTCAGCCATCTGCGTGGGGCCGCCCCGGTTCTGCCCCAGACCGAGTGGTCCTGTCCTCCCCTCCCGTCCCAGCACCTCAGGTGCGACTCCAAGTGGGCCATGCCAGGCAGGTGTGTCCTCGTGTGTTGCTCTTTATAAAAAACGTGGCCATGTTGTAAGTTTTTTCAGGGAAAAAGACATCATCAATACTAGTACCCTCCAACACAGCTGGGCCCACCCCATGTGCTGTGTGGGTGACATAGCCGCCACCGCAGTGTCCCCATTTCTGTGTCTTGCCTTCGTCCCACCTCAGAGCAGAGGCCTGTCCCGCAGCCCACAGGCCCCGGCCCGGCCCACTCGGCCGCTGACGGCAACCCTGACCCTGAGGTACTTAGAGGTCAGTTCTGGAAGACAGGGCCTTCAGAGGTTAAAGTCAAGCAGAGGTTGCACCAGGCAGTGACACAGGGTGTGATGGACGGGACCCCAAAGCTGTGACCCCCTGCCTGGGGTGTTTCTCTTTGCCTGGCTGGGTCAGGCCTCAGCTTTATAAAATTTATAAACTTAAAAGCAATTCATGACCCCCAAAGTGATGGTATTTGGGGACGGGGGCCTTTGGGAGGTGATTAGGGTTAGATGAGGTCATGAGGGAGGGTCTCTGGTCCAGAGAGACCCCAGAGAGCTTGCTCTCCCGGCCACGCGGGATGTAGCGCGAAGGCAGCCGTCTATCTGCAAGCCAGGAGGAGCCCTCGCCAGGACCGTACCATGCTGGTTCCCTGATCTGGGACTTCTGGCCTCCGGAACTGTGAGAAATAAATTCCTGTGGTTCACGCAACAATCCTTGGCGCTTTGTTGTGGTGGCCTGAGCTGGCTAAGATGGGAACCAGCGGGAAGCCTGGAGCCGTGGCTTGGAGCCTCGCCATCCCCTGCTGAACAGAGTATCGGCAGAGTCTGTCTCAGACCTGCGGGGTCTTGCGTCAGGGCCCATGTGCAGGGTGACAGATGGAGCACTCAGAGGCCTTGGCATTGCCACCGCTGTCTGCCTGTCGGCCATGGGCCCAACTGTGCCCTCTGAGGAATGGCCCAGGACTAAAGGCCAAGGGGCCCCTCAGTCTCACTCCCAGAGTGCCCTGGGTCAGTGTGCCCGAGGGCCTCCCACAGGGCAAGGAGCAGCCTTTCTGCCCTGGCCAAGGACCCGGAGAGGGAATGTCCACGTGCGAACCGGCTCAGCGGCCGCGTGGAGGGACGGTGAGGTGAGACTGCAGGCCAGAGAGAGCTGCTCCCGGGGGAGCCCCTCCAGGCCGCCTGCTCTGCGGGCAGTGCACGGACCCCTTCCTGTGAGCCGCACCGTCTGCCCGAAGCTGCCTCTGTAAAGACGCTTGCACGGATAGAAGGACGGGGACGTCTGTGTCCCCCTGTGTGGCCTGTTCATGCATCTTCCACCAGCAGAGTCTGTCTCATTGCAAACGGACCATCCGGGCCGTGTAGATGTGGGCTCTGCAGCCTCCAACAAGGTCCCCAGCCCGGTTCCACGTCAAAGGGAAGGTGCCGGCCTCACTCCAGGGAGTTCCAGGGAGACCAAGAGCCGCGCCTTATCGTGGACGCCTTGTCATGGACGCAGACCCCAAGCCACACCACGGTTCTCAGGCTTCAGGTTTTTCCCATGTTCTTCCCTTTTGGGGGGCCGCGTCTGGACGTTTCCGAGAATCACTTGAAGAACAGAGTGTTAGCCAGAGGGACGGAGACCCGCAGGTGCAGCCCAGGGCCGCTCAGCTGGGAGAGAGACAACAGCCCTGCAGGAGGGACGAGCGCCAGGAGGGCAGCCGGGCTGGGTCCCTCTTCCTGAGGCCAGAGCGTCCTCCTGTGGTCACATGCCCCTCGGCGGTCCTGGGGCACCGGTCCCAGGAGGCAGCAGGACGCGCTTTCCTGCACAGAGCCTGCCCGTTCCCCACGGGCTCTCGTTCGGACCTCGGCCTGCCACCTGCACCCCCACAGCGGCCTGCAGCAGAGTCCTGGCCAGAAAGGGGCAGAGGGTCGCACGTGCTGGCAGGCTCCAGAGACAGAGCCGAGCTTGGCAGTGGCCACGTGTCTGAGCAGATGGCCTAGGGAGAAGGCTCCCGAACAGGGGTCGGGGTCTCTGTCAGTCCCTAGCCGGTCAGTGGCACCTCAGTTACTTGTACCTGGTTTTGGATGGTCCCACATACGTACCGGGCACGAGTGCTGCCAAAGGAGTGGCCACCCCGCCCTCCGGGATCGGTCGTCGGGCGGGCACTTAACGCATCAACAGTACTGGTGGGTTGTTCTTTTCTTAGCTCCAAACGTTAAGTTTCAGGGAAAGGACAGCTAATACTAACGGATAGAGGGCCAAAGACAGAAATGGTGCTTACTAAGGACTTCACTACCATCTAATCCAGTAAAAATTGGCCCGTGGGAAACCTGGAGGCGGAGCCCAGCCAGGAGTCAGGGGCGTGACCTTCGCTCGCTCAGGGCCCTGCGTTCGCGCCTTTCTCCTGAATTCGGTTTTCTGAGTCAGGAGAGTTTCCAGCAAGGGGGGGGCACACCAGGACTCTGGGGCGTCACCCCCCCCACCCCCCGCAAGGATGTTTCCTGGTTTTTGCATCTTGAATATTCTCTTGCTTAAGCTCTGGCCGCCTCCTTCTGTTTGTTCTGTTCCTGTTGATGCTGTTCCCAGGTCGCCTCTCTGTTCCTGCCGACCTGTGGCAGCATTTCCTGGCAGAGTGACCGGGAAGAACGTGCCCTGGACTCAGCTGCCTGGGCCCAGGGCCTGCAACGGTACCCAGGCGGGGGACCAGGCAGGGGACCAGGCGGGGGCCACACAGCCCAGGAGCACCAAGCCGAGGGCCATATAGGTGCGGCTTTCTCCTTTCTTTTTCTTGTCTCTCTTTTCTTTTTTCATTGAGGTGAAATCCATATAAAATTAACTTTTTTTTTTTGAGACAGAGTCTCACTGTGTTGCCCAGGCTAGAGTGCCGTGGCGTCAGCCCAGCTTACAGCAACC